GAGCTCAGGGCTGGGGATTGAGGGGCACTGGCAGAGCTGGGGAGTGGGGAGCCCAGGGCTGGGGGTTGAGGGGCACTGGCAGAGCTGGGGAGTGGGGAGCCCAGGGCTGGGCTAGCAGGGGGCTGGGGATTGAGGGTCACCAGCTGAACTGGGGTGGAGGGAGCCCAGGGCTGGGGAGTGAGGGGCACCGGCAGAGCTGGGGGTGGGGAACCCAGGGCTGGGGAGTTGAGGGGCACCGGCAGAGCTGGGGTGGGGGAGCCCAGGGCTGGGGATTGAGGGGCACCGGCAGAGCTGGGGGTGGGGAGCCCAGGGCTGGGGATTGAGGGGCACTGGCAGAGCTGGGGGGTGGGGAGCCCAGGGCTGGGCTAGCAGGAGGGCTGGGGATTGAGGGGCGCCAGCAGAGCTGGAGGGGAGACCCCAGGGCTGGGCTATGTTTGAGCTGAGCTCGGTTTCTTTGGAATTCCTGCTGAACAAAGTGAGGTGTGGGGCAGGTTTACTGAAGCTGTTTTGTCTAACTCTTAGCAGGGCGGGTCCCATACCAGGGGAGGGTCAGTCCTACCCTCTCCCTCTTCACACACCAGATGCTTTTCTCCTTCACTTTCTCTTGCCCTAGGTCTGGGAGCCCCTCAGGCAGAACAATACTGATGATGGGATCCAGTTCCTCTCCCCACGCTGCTCTGCAGTGGGCAAGCAGGAGCCCTTCAGTCACTGCGGGTCAGGACTCAGGATTGCGATGTGTGGAGCCCGGGACTGGATGAGCAGCAGGGACGGGCTATGGGTGGAGACTGAGGGGCCTCTCAGGGCTGTGTTAACTTGCAGGGAGCCCAAGCCTGAAGTAGCAGAGGGGCTGTGGGACTGAGGGACACTGGCAGAGCTGAGCGGGGACTCAGGGCTAGGATCGCAGCAGGGGGCTGCAGGTCAGGAGTGAGGGGCACCAGCTGAGCTGGCAGTGGCAGGGGTAGTAGAAACTGCGTATCAGGACTGAGGGGCATTGGCAGAGCTGTGGGGGGCCCATTGTGCTGCAGACATGCTCCAAAAACTTCCTGATATGAATTCATGGTGTGACCAGCGTCCCTGGGTCACCATCGTGGTTTGCTGTCACCACATAAATCCTAATCCTGCAGCTCATCCCTTTATCTGTGTCATCAGAAAGATCCTGGGCAAAACTTTCCTGCAGCCGGGAAGCGCCACGGGGTGAATTTTTCTCCCAGGATGTGCAGGAAGGAAGTGGCAGAAAGGCCTCTGTGCATTCCAGCTGGGCAACAAGCGCCACTCTGCCCTCCAGTGACCAAACCACAGGACACCTCGCTCTTGGCCCGCTGCTGTTCCCTCTCTGCCCTGTTGTTTGCTAACCTCTTTGAGGCGGAAGTCCAGGTTCCAAGGGGAGCAAGAAATCCAGATGTGCAGGGCCCACACCTCGTGCCCATGGGCCCGCAGGCTTCCAGCCGCAGAGGAGTCCCTCACTGGACCTGCCCCGTGCTGCTGGAGATTAGAGAACGGGGCCTTCGAGGCCTTTTCTAGAGTTCTCGCAGACTCACCCAACTGCCCTGCCCGGTCTCGGACTCACCCCGCTGACGGGGGCACTGGTAAGCTCCTCCCACATCCACGCTTGCATCGATGACGGTCACTTCCGCGTGGGAAGACCCCAAAGCCGCGTGCGGCCTGGCTGCACGGGGGCGACGTGGCAGCCAGCGCCTAGGACGGGACGCGACGGAGGAGCCGGTCTCCGGTCGAGGCCACAGCAGGAGTTTGGGGGGGTGACAGCAATTAACGCATTTCGGGCCCGTCAGTCTTTGCGGGGCACGTGCCCAGCAGCCCGGCACGCTATGATGTCATCATCCCTCCAATGACATCACCCAGTGCTGAGACGCATCAGCGTCTCGTTGTGTCACCTCCTCCCATCACCATGGCACCCACGGTGATGTCATGTGGGTCTGTGGGGTGGGCGGGACTGCGGAGCGCGACCAATCCGGGGGCACCTCAGCAGCATGGGGCTTGTAGGGAGGGATCTCAGGGCTCATCCCATGGGCCTGGGTCCCCAGGGACCTTCCCAAGATGGCGTCATTTCCCGCTTCCTCAGCCCCTGGGCGAAAGACTGACCCTCTTAACATGGCCGCTACTTCCGCCTACATTATTTCTTCTGGCTGAAGGCAAAGACCTTTTCAATATGGCGGCGCTTCCGGAGCGCTTTGTTGGCCTGAACGACCTTCTCAAAATGGCGACACCGCCCAACTCTCTTTGCGCATTGGGTGGCAGATTCGACCTTTCCAATATGGCAGCGGAGCCGTGCCAAGCGCTCACTTCCGCCCGTGTGGGGAACCCCGGAGCGGATATAGCGGCCCCGGTTTCCGGTCTAGCTCCTTTTCGGCCGCGGCTGTCTCCACGCGAACATGCCTGTGAGTGCGGCCGAGCGGCCCGCCGGGGGCCGGGCCCGGGAGCGTCCCCCTCCGCCGGCCGGGGCCGGGCTCTGCCAGCGGGGGCGGGGTCCAGCGGGGGCGGGGGTAGCGGGAGCCGGCCCAGGGAGCGGGAGCTGGGCCCGGAGCGGGGAGATGGCGGCGGGGGAGGGGGGAAGGAGGGACCAAGGATGGCGGCGGCTGGGGGGGCGCCCCTCTAGAGGGGTGCGGGGGGGGGCTGCCCTCCCCCCAGCCGGGCTAACCCGCTGTGCTTGGCTTGCAGCTGGCGAAAGACCTGCTGCATCCCTCCCCCGAGGAGGAGAAGCGGAAACACAAGAAGAAGCGTCTGGTCCAGAGTCCGAACTCCTATTTCATGGATGTGAAGTGTCCAGGTGAGGCCCTGGCCCCCCAGGCGGGACCTACAGCCGGAGTGGGGCAGCCCTTGGGCGCATGGCCGCAGGCTGCCCCCCCCCGGCTGTGAGCAGTCCCGCTCCCCAGTCCGAGGTTACCTTGGTAGCCCCTGTGGTCAACACTGACCCTGAGCATGTGAGACTGGGTGGTGGTTGAAGTTGTTCCCGCTCCGGAAATCTTACAGACTTGTCAGGAATGCTTATCTCGATAGAGCTGGGCCGGGGATAGACGGGTGGGCTGCAGGCCAAATCCGGACCGCCAGGTGCTTCTGAAGGGATCCTGGAATCCTACCTTTTTAACATTTTCTCTGGAGTCTGGACCTTGATTATATTTGACCAAGAAATTTGGACCTTGACAAAAAATAGACTACTGTCGGACTAGACCTTGCAGTCTGCTGTAACTACCTGTAACATGCAAGCTTAAAACGTTTGCTTTTGAGAACCCTTTAAATCCCCATTATGGCCAGAGCAATGCACAACTGTTTGAACGTTTTTCACTGTCGCCCTTAGCCCTCTTCTCTTTCTCCAGCAGATTAAAGTTTCACTTGCCTGCTGAAAATGTCAAAACATTTCTCCAATAATATGCCCGCTTTGTCATTGCTCCAGCAGTAGAAATAACCCTGCCCCAGCTCCTTTGTAGAGAAATATGCTCCTCTCAAACTTGTGCTTTCTTTCAGGTTGCTATAAAATCACCACTGTATTCAGCCATGCTCAGACTGTAGTTCTGTGTGTTGGCTGCTCAACGGTGCTGTGCCAGCCCACTGGAGGAAAGGCAAGGCTTACAGAAGGTAAACAGCAATTTGTACTTGAGAACCCAGCCAGCTACTGTATTGTTTTACTGTGTCATCATAACCCCCTCACCTGTTTTGTCTTGCTCTTGTCTTACTTGAACTATAGTTTCCTCAGGGCAGGGAAGGTATATCTTGGTTCTTAATGCATTGTACACCCTGAGTTAGAATACCCCATCTCCAGACTTTTACCTTGAGTGGCACTTCAGAAGAGTCTAAGATTGTCCAATATGTGCCTGAAGTGCTTGCAGGGAGTGGGTTTGCGAAGTATAATGAAACTCCTCTTAAGTGACCAGCGACAATTAGTCTCCTAGAGCAATTGGCAGGACAGAATGACTAGAAGCCTTGGGGATTCTTGAAGAATGCTTAGGATGGACAGCTATGTACTGGCGTTCCTCAGAGGGTCACTGGGGATATACTTACCAGCTGTTGGCCTTCATGGTTACGAGCCACGCCGGGACTATTGACCTAGGTCTATGTTCTGTTGGCTCTGCTTCAGTTTTACTTCTATAATGATGGATCTGACTTAATGGATTTTGGAGCTGTTGATACCTGAGGATTTCAGACTCTCTCCCAGTGGCTGAGTCCTTGTTGAGCTATGAGAATAAGGTCCGCCTCCCTCACAACCCCTAGAGGCCTTGTGGTACTGGTACCCTCCTGCGGACTGGGCACAATTCACTATTTAAGATAGTCAAAGGGGTAAACGACCCAACCATCCCCCACACAAGCTGGTAACGTGCTTGGGATTACTTACTGTTCTTTCCTTATCTAGGATGCTCCTTCAGACGAAAGCAGCACTAAACGAAAGTGTCTGAGATGGGTGGGACTACCTGCGCAGTTGGCAGCACAAATACAGATGGTTCAAGAGCATGGGATTCAGCCACGGAGCAACATTAAGTGTCAAGATGTGAACAGAAGGCTTTAAAGACGTCTCTAGAATGTGAGGGGAGAACATGACTTTCATACTGTCCCTGTAGCCTCACCCATCTGACTGTCAATAAATTTTGGATAAAATACAGCTTAGTCTGTTGCTTAACTTGATACTCGCATAGTGCTCTTTTGGGTGTTATGAACAAAACTGTTCAACAGGAGTGAACACACACATAGCAACAGGTGCTATGACGAGACTCAGCAGGGAAAGAATATGGATATGCAGTGAGCCCCTGTTCACCCTGGAGGGAAACTAGTTATTCTCTCATCCCTCCCTCTCCTGAGACGTCAGCATAATCTGACCACTCTTAAAATGGAAGGTTCAACCACTGGGAATCCTGACTTTGCCCTGCTGACAGCACAGGCTTTTGCAAATGACTCCCAAATATTCCTCAAACCACAGTAAAGTACCTTGTTACCCTCTGTGCTCTGACCTGATACTCTGCCTCTGCAGGCCGGCACAAGAAGCCTGCAGTATCATACATTACTGGCCTGAAAAAGGTTTAAAAGTCAAACTGCTGGGTGGCTTCTGGACTTTATTCTGGCCCAAATCATGAGGGAGTTTTCTTGTTGCAGGATCTACCACACTGATCATTTAAAGTAGAATGGCACAAACTCTATTGTGTCTTTAGCAACATGATAGTGGGGCACCTGTCTGGTACCCATCAGTGTGGCCTGAAGAGTCTAGAGTCAGTCTGTTCTCCTAGAGAACCAGGAAGGTGCTGTGACTTCCAGTTACAGGAGTTGGAACTACACCTAACATCACGCTTCACTAGACATTTATTGTTGTACAAATAGGTACTTCTTTCAAACATGCCTTCTCCGTACGCTCCAAAGCCATAGCTGTGTTCTGTTTCTTCCATTGTGTTGTTGAGTACCAACAGGAGGATATGAATACCCTAAGTGTGGGGGGAGAAAAGTTAGTCAGAAATACCAGACTGCTTGGATATCCCTAGGACACAGGAACAAAAAGGACAGGGTTTTACTTAGACAGCTGCTGCCATCTAACCTTGCAATTTATAGAAAACAGTTCCTAAAACTTCAAGCCCTTTCCTGTACCTGAGACAAGGTGGGGGAGATATCTTTTATTGGATCAACTTCTGTTCTTGTCACCAACAAAAGATTACCTCCCCCATCTTCTCTCCATATCCTAGGACTAACACAGCTACAACAACAGTACCTGATCTCTGCTAGGGGAATTCAAATTCGCTTTTCCAGGCTGGCTATTCTGCCTCCAGAGAAGTGAGTTTGGGAAAGAGCAAACAGGGTGAGAGAATGTCCTATCTTAAGCAAGTGATGTTTGCTACTGACCTTTGTATACAGCTGTTCCAACAAATTATATACAGTTCATTACACAAGTTTCAAAAAGAATCCCAGCTTACCTGTCTGAGGTGTAGCTGAGGTAGGAACATATACAATAGGTACAGTCTGTACTCTGGTCAGAAAGGCATTGTACGCTGCAAAAATAACAGCAGTGGAACAGGTATGAAGGTATAGTCTCATTGTGCTAAAGGTTTGTGTACACAGTTAACAGCAGTTTAAGGTGTGATTTAAACCAACACAAAGCTGCATGGCCATTTTGAAGTCATAAGGATTATACAAGGAACTAAAGCCACTATTCCTGAATGAGATTCTAATTTCTGTGTTGACATTACACTTATTGATTTGCTTTAACTCTGAGTGTTCTACAGAGAGATGTGCTGTTTAGCTTGTCAATTAGTATGGGTTTAAGACAGTGCACTAAGCCATGCAAACATAAGCATGAGTTTTTCCACAAGTTTAACTAAACCAATGCAACTTTGTCTAAAGGCCAAACTGGCAAATAAGATATTCCCACAAAACACATTTTCACAGGTTGTGTGGGTCAAAACCCTATTACGAGTCTTCTCCCTACCATTTATGCAGGTGTGTGAAGGGGGAAGAGAATGTGCATTTTGGCACTGTTGGGAAAATCTGATCAATCAGAATTGTGAGGCACAGAGTACCAAAATCAACAGGTGAAACTGACAAATGTTGCACTATTTAGATACCATCATAAGTATAAATAAACATCTATTAAAAGGTTAAATCAGTAGTGCTTAAAAGGTACCCCTTTTGGAGCCAATAATCTTCTCTATCCAATAGTGACAGGGCAAGTTTCCACCACACTGCCCTTTGCCAATATACCTCGGCCCTGCTCCAGAATGAACATGTCTAGAGAAGAGAGGAATTTGGCTTGTCCATGGAGGGAAGCAAATTCTTTAGGAACTGGACTCATTTCATGTAGGCCACCGCGCCTGCTCCTAACATGGTTTATTTCAGGTTTAGAGTAGAAGCATCAAGCTTTAGCAGTGAAAGGCTCCATGTATATCCCAGTGCAAAGAACCCACATTGCTTTTTTTCCCTTAAAGTTTACCTAAGGTGATTTTTCATACCAGGATGACAGTTTAATATGACCAATAGGGGCCTGGCACTGCCAATGTGTACAACATGTCCCAGTCAGCCTGTTATCCTTCAGAGGCAGATTCACTAAGTTACATGACATTTATTATGGGTGGTGGGTTTTTCCCTCCTGAGATTTTATAAACTGAGGGCCTGTCTGCTTTATATGATCATTAAAGATGGTAGGGTACTTACCTATATATCTTTCTTACTGGCCCAAATGCCCTTTCCTCATTGGTGGATACTAGTTGGTGTCTACATGAAAGGTGGCTGCATCCCTGTCCAGTAGTATGTATACAGGTTCTTGAAAGGCATTACAGAAATAGGACAGACACCAGGATGATCTTTTGGGGGTTAAACCTTTGTGTGCTAGATGTATTCTATTTCAGGACATGGTCTGAAATGTGGTTGGTTGTAGTGGGTACAGGTTTGTTTTGTTTTTTTTAATCCAGGGGCTTGTAATTTTCAAACACACTCAAAAGAGTATTGCCCTCTTCAAAATATACACAAAGTGTAACATCCACATGCTTGTATCCAACAACTGAATGAACACACAGGGAAAGCTGCCTGTTTACCTGCAACCCTCTCTGTTTTCACTTACTGAGAAAGATTACAGCTGTCGCTGCTAGAACAGCAAAGAGGGTGAAGAGAAGGATCTGGTAAGAGCCCATAAGCTGTTGGACAATTCCTGCTTCACTGCACGGACCTAACATTTTCCAGAAAAAGGAGGTAAGATTTAGTCTTGCGTGTAGGCAGACTCCTCATTTCTGTAATAAATGACACTGTGGAGACATGCATCAAACCACTCTGCAGCTTTGTTGCAAGAACTAACTGAAAAGAAATATGACATAAGCAGTTTCAAAATCATTAACCCTTTCCATGGGAATTTGGTGCTGGAGCCTTAAGGAATGAAGTTCTCTCCCTAGACCAGCTGCAGCACAAACAGGTGCAGTGAAAGTTTCCTGGCTCAGGCCCCGTCAAAGTGCCTCACTAGAACTTGGAGGGACCCACCCCATGGACTAAGGGCAATTCAGTCTCCCGATTCTATCGGAGACTCCCCTCTGTTCACTAGGACATAGACCCAGACCACCAACTCATGTCATGTAGACTACTAACTACAATCAGATGGAAACCGCTTTGCATCATTCTTAACCTGCAGCTCCCTACAATGCCTCTTCCCACCCGCATCAAGTTCAGCTGTTCACACCTAGGGAGTAAGCCTCTTCCTTGTGATCCCAGAGTCTTCACTGTGAAATGAACAAACGAGGGCCCCCTCGTTATGGAGTTAGCATTCAGAAGGACCAATGCTGGGTGGTGTTGGGTACTTAACTTCCACTAAGGTCAATGAGAGTTAAGATACCACACAGGTTCAGCCCTAGACACAGTAAGGTAGACGCTTGTTTCACTTTCTTGTAACAGGAAAGCAGACTGGAATGGTAAAGAATGAGGATCCAGTAACTAGCACACCGCTTTGATGGCACTATTGCATCTTCTCATGCAAACAAGACCAGCTGATACTTACTAAACAGAGGCTGCCCTGCCAGAACTCTCACAGTTATGGTAACTCTTTGGCCTGTGAGAATACAAGAGACATTGATAAAGATGGGGGCTGCCATCTGGTGGAGAGATGTGAGATTGACCACACTAACTGGGTAGGAGACAAGTCCAGGCATGTTGGGTGAATGTTCAGGCTGCCTCACTATTATCACAGGAGAGTTGGGGTGGACCTTTGAAAACAGACAAAAAGCAGTTATTGAAAAGGTAAACAAAACCAGTACAAGCCAGTTCTGTATAGTACTAGGGTTCTACCAAATTCATGGTCCATTTTGGTCAATTTCATGGTCATAGGATTTTTTAAATCATAATTTTCATGATTTCAGCTATTTAAAGCTGAAATGTCACGGTGTTGTAATTGTAGGGGTCCTGACCCAAAAAGAAGTTGTGGGGGGTCACAAGATTATTGTAGGGGGGGGTTGTGGTACTGCTACCCTTACTTCTGTGCTGCTGGCGGCGGCAACTGCCGTCAGAGCTGGGCAGCTGGAGAGCGGCAACTGCTGGCCGGGATCCCGGCTCTGAAGGCAGAGTCACCGCCTGCAGCAGCACAGAAGTAAGGATGGCACAGTATGGTATTGCCACCCTTACTTCTGCACCGCTGCTGGTGGGGCGCTGCCTTCAGAGCTGAGTGCCCAGCCAACAACCACTGCTCTCCGGCCACCCAGATCTGAAGGCAGCACAGTAGTAAGGATGGCAATACCGCGACCCCCTTAAAATAATCTTGTGACCCTTTTGCAACTCCCTTTTGGGCCAGGACCCCCAATTTGAGAAATGGTCTCCCTTGTGAAATCTGTATAGTATAGGGTAAAAGCACACAAGAGACCAGATTTTTTCATGGCCATGAATTTGGTAAGGCCCTAAATATTACACACTTAATAGCGAGGTTATTTACAACAATGCAGTAGTGATGATAAGTATTCTCGTAATTACCATCATTTGCAGTGGGTAGCAGAATACTGGATGTGCTGATACTTCCAGAAACGTCCTGGGCCTGCTGGCATGACCTTGCAGACACAGTGCACACAAAGTTATGCGGCATGGGAGGTGGCATTGTGAAGACTGCACCACCCTGCCCTGGCGGGTCTGACCTCGCACAGAGAGAGAGAGAGTGTG